TGTGGTAGTAACTAATAACCGAAGGTTTTAAGTTCTATTTCGATATGTTCCAAAAAACTGAGCTATTGTCCTGCTATCAGTAGTGCTGCTGCTGCTGCTGCTGCTGCTGCTGCTGCTGCTGCTGCTGCTGTTCAATAAATGAACTCGTTTAAAATTAAGTCCTTTCTAAAAATTTATATGTTTAAAAATGTTTTTCATTTATGTTAGTGATAATTAATTTTGTACCAAAAGAACCTTAGAAAACTTAGCTAACCTTATAACAAGCGCAATTTAATATAGCCTAATCCAACTAAATATATTTTAGATAAGTTTACAATAATTTAATAAACAAACACAATGAGATACATGTTTTTTTACGTTCAGAATGATTTTTGCGAAATTATTGCATACACAAATTTTCGCTTGTCTTGTACGGCAAGAAGAGCGTTGCTATTTAAGCCAAAATCGCAAGTTTTACCTATATGGCACAACATTATATATATATATATATATATAATTATATATATATATATATATATATATATATATATATATATATATAATGCAAAACAACCACGGGGGGAGTATAATAATAGCTCTAGGCCTTTCGTGTTGCAATCAACACATCAGGAGCTTGCAAAATTGCAGGAAAGAGGAGGATGTCCAAACAAGTACGTTCCCAGAGGACCGTCTTCACTGGAGTGAGGGAGGCAGAGGAGGGTACAGGGAGTGCCCCCAGGCACAACAGTGCCCCCAGGCACAACAGTGCTCACAGCCAGAAGGATGAATATTATAGCATTAGAATCATCCCACAAGCATTGATATTGTAATAGCATGAACGAAATTAACGTGGCAATAATAAAAAAAGCGATCATATTCCGCTACGACATCAATAACTTTACACACACACATATATTGTGAGTGATATAGAAGTCTCTGGCAATTATAGGGTAGCCTTCCAAGGGACAACGTGTCTAATTAAATTGACGAGAAAACGTAACATTTAGATTGGAGACTTCTAAAAATTATGTAAAGGAAACGGGGCTCATTAAAATACTTATTTAAAGGGGGAGGCATCTGCAATAACAAGAAAGACGGCCACAGATATTCAACCCACATAATTCTGAGGCAAACTCTGGCTCAACCTTCAGAAACTGCAGGAAAAATAGGCCCTAATTCTTCGGTGTGGCACTACGCTTCAGACAATCTATTGCATTCATATTAAAGCCCAGTTTTAAACTGTGTACTATTCCCTCCACTAAAAACGCATCTAATTTGAACAACCCGCCACTGATATTGTATAATGACTGCCTGTCATGTTTAATAATTGCCGATTCTACAATATTCCTTTCAAGCCAGAAGGAACAAGGGAAGATTACTCTTTCTTCCCACCAATTTGCCGGTTATTAAAAGCTCTAATATGGTTGAAAATCACACGTTCGACTCCTGTGCTGTACGTATCGAATAACAGTGCTGGGACATTCTCACCTCCAATATATCACTCTCAATATATATCACTCACAGTATATTTGTGTAAAGTTATTGATGTCATAGCGGAAAATGATCGATTTTTTTTTTATTTTTGCCACGTCAATTTCGTTCAGGCTGTTACAATATCAATGCTTGTAGAATTTTTCTAATGCTATAATATTCATCCTTTTGACTCTGGGCACTGTTGTGCCTGGGGGCACTGTTGTGCCTGGGGGCACTGTTGTGCCTGGGGGCACTGTTGTGCCTGGGGGCACTGTTGTGCCTGGGGCACTGTTGTGCCTGGGGGCACTGTTGTGCCTGGGGGCACTCCCTGTACCCTCCTCTGCCTCCCTCACTCCAGTGAAGACGGTCCTCTGCGAACGTACTTGTTTGGACATCCTCCTCTTTTCTGCAATTTTGCAAGCTCCTGATGTGTTGATTGCAACACGAAAGGCCTAGAGCTATCATTCTACTCCCCCCGTGGTTGTTTTGCATCCTGTATAGCTTGGTTTGCGATATTTGCATTATATATATATATATATATATATATATATATATATATATATATATATATATATATATCAACAAAGTCGGCCGTCTCCCACCGAGGCAGGGTGACCCAAAAAACGAAAGAAAATCCCCAAAAAGAAAATACTTTCATCATCATTCAACACTTTCACCAACCACACAACATTGACCAAACCAAACCTACAACAACCTCTTAATGCCACTCTGAAATGCTTTTATAACTCCAACACCTCTCCTAATTCGCATACTTCCGAATTTTCTCGCATAATATTTACACCACACTGCCCTTAGACAGGACATCTCCACTGCCCTCCAACCGTCTCCTCGCTGCTCATTCTACCCCCAAGCTTCACTCCACAACACGAGAGTTGGTACTACTAATAACCTTCATACATTCCCCTTCTTTGCCTCCTATAGAATACGTTTTTTTTACTCCACATATACCTCAACTCGCAACCACTCACACTTTTTCCCCTCATCAATTCAATGATTAACCTCATCCTTCATTAAAATCCATCCAGCCACCCAAAGATGTTAACTATACCTTCAACCTCTCCTCCATGATAACTTTTTGACTAATATACCTGCACCTCCTTTTTTCCCTATCAATTCTATTTAACCACTTCTCACTCCATCTATAAACTTCCTCTTCTATCCCCAATTTGATATCCAATTTATCTTTATCTAAATCATTTGATACCCTCATCACATTACTCTTTCTATGTTCACTTTCAACTTTCTACCTTTACACACATTCTCAAACTCATCTACTAACCTTTGCAATTTTTCTTTAGAATCTCCCATAAGCACAGTATCATCAGCAAAAAGTAACTGTGTCAATTCCCATTTTGAATTTCATTCCCCATAATTTAATCCCACCCCTCTCCCGAACACCCAAGCATTTACTTAAACCCCATCTATTAATATATTTAACAAACCATGGTGACATTACACATCCTGTCTAAGACCTACTTTACCGGGAAGTATTCTCCCTCTCTTCTACACACCCTAACCTGAGCCTCACTATCCTCATAAAAGCTCTTTACAGCATTTAGTAACTTACCACCTATTCCATATACTTGCAACATCTGCCACATTGCTCCTCTATCCACTCTATCATATGCCTTTTCTAAATCCATAAATGCAATAAAAACTTCCCTACCTTTATCTAAATACTGTTCACATATATGCTTCGATGTAAACACTTGATCTACACATCCCCTACCCACTCTGAAGCCTCCCTGCTCATCCGCAATCCTACATTCTGTCTTACCTCTAATTCTTTCAATTATAACCCAACCGTATATTTTTCCTGGTATACTCAGTAAACTTATTCCTCTATAATTTTTACAATCTCTTTTGTCCCCTTTCCCTTTATATAAAGGGACTATACATGCTCTCCGCCAATCCCTAGGTACCTTCCCCTCTTTCATACATTTATTAAACAAAAGTACCAACCACTCCAACACTATATCCCCCCCCCCTGCTTTTAACATTTCTGTCATGATCCCATCAGTTCCAGCTGCTTTACCCCCTTTCATTCTACGTAATGCCTCACGTACCTCCACCACACTTACATTCTGGTCTTCTTCACTCCTAAAAGATGGTATACCTCCCTGGCCATTTCATGAAATTACCGCCTCTCTTTCTTCCTCAACATTTAAAAGTTCCTCAAAATATTCTCGCCATCTACCTAATACCTCCATCTCCCCATCTACTAACTTCCCTACTCTGTTTTTAACTGACAAATCCATACTTTCCCTAGGCTTTCTTAACTTGTTTAACTCCAAATTTTTTTCTTATTTTCATTAAAATTTCTTGACAGTGCCTCTCCCACTCTTTCATCTGCTCTCCTTTTGCACTCTCTCACCACTCTCTTCACCTTTCTTTTACTCTCCATATACTCTGCTCTTTTTATAACACTTCTGCTTTGTAAAAACCTCTCGTAAGCTACCTTTTTCTCCTTTATCACACCCTTCATTATTCCACCAATCACTCCTCTTTCCTCCTGCCCCCACCCTCCTATAACCACAAACTTCTGCCCCACATTCTAATACTACATTTTTAAAACTATTCCAACCCTCTTCAACCCCCCCACTACTCATCTTTGCACTAGCCCACCTTTCTGCCAATAGTCGCTTATATCTCGCCCGAACTTCCTCCTCCCTTAGTTTATACACTTTCACCTCCCTCTTACTTGTTGTTTCCACCTTCCTCTTTTCCCATCTACCTCTTACTCTAACTGTACCTACAACTAAATAATATATATATACATATATATATATATATACATATATAATATATATATATATATATATATATATATATATATATATATATATATATATATATATATATATATATATATATAATGTAGTGCCGAATATGTAAAACTGGTCAATTAGCAAGAACTCATTTAAAATTAAGTCCTTTCTAAAATTTTCTCTTATACGTTTAAAGATTTTTTTTTTCATTAATGTTAATGTAAAAAAATTTAATTTTGCTCCAAAAGAATCTTAGAAAACTTACCTAACCTTATTGTAACAAGAACAATTTATTTTAGCCTAACGCAACTAAATATAATTTAGATTTGTTTACAATAATTTTATACTAAACAAACACAGTGAAATATATATTTTTCTTTAGGTTCAGATTGATTTTGGCGAAATTATTGCATACACAAATTTTCACTTGTCCTATATGGCAAGATGAGCGTTGCTATTTAAGCCAAGATCGCAAGTTCTGCCTATTCGGCACGACATATATATATATATATATATATATATATATATATATATATATATATATATATATATATATATATATATATTATAGTAATTGCCTACTTGTGAAATTCACTCCTTCTGTAGCAGACACCTAATAAGACGACTCGCCTTGTTTAATGGACTACTGGTATATTAAACAGGTCACTACACTCTCCTGGTGATGTAGTCTCTTGTATTAGACGCGATATTAGCGGATGAAGCAATATGGCTGACGGTCTAGAACCAGCTGACACTCACCTGGTGTAGTCTGTCTTGCAGTAGACGTTGTGTTCACGTATAAAGCAAGATGGCTGACGGTCTAGAGCCAGCTGACAGACGCAGCATCTGAGACAAGTTTGGTGCCAGGAGCGCGAGTTGACCCTCAGGAGGAAGCGGTCAGCGATGACGTCGTGGCACCCTTGGCACACCTCCCCGCAACCCTGCAGTGTCTCACACATTAGTACATAGGACGAGAGAAGCACTGCAATAGGCCTAATGGCCTAGCTTAGACAATACATAAAATTAAGATAGAAACGTATATATTTTGCATTTTGTATTTAGATACCCAACAATAATAAAAATTCTTCAAGGGAAAGGTCAGGTTTTGTTATTCAGTATCTTTGAAAGTTTTTATATGCCACAACTTGAAGCCTAAACACTTTTAAAACCCTCTAGCCACTACAGTACTTTGTTAGAGAATGTCCAACAGTGTCAGGCAGGTAAGGCTTACCTTGGTGTCCCCAGAGAGTGTCTTCTCTGGGAACTTGTGTTCCTGCTGCTGCTGGGTTTCAATGAGGCTAGCTTGGGGCTCCGTGTGCCGTCTGGCCTCTGACGTGGCGTTGGCTTGGCTGGGGTGGTGAAGGCGGGCCTCTGCAGATGGGTTGGCCTCGCTGGGGTTATGACTTGGGTCTGGGGGACTGAAGGCGGGGCGGAGGGGGTCGTCTTCGGCCATGACACCGTCAGACCCGCAAGATACAGTGACAGCATCCACGATCATGGCCGCCACCCACCCTAGTGTTGTGGCTTGTGGAAACTCACCCACTCGCCTGAGTGGTGCGCTACAACCTTATTCAGATTCCCTTTTTTGTATACTGGTTGCTTTACTGGGCTACTTTTATTTGTCATTTATATTCGCAGTTATTGTACGTGTTATGGTAATACATGTAAATATATTTATAATTCGTTAGTAATTGCGTTTTATTGTTATCTAGCATGAGTTTACTTGTTAATGTAGTCAGTCACCTTAACTTGAATGTAGTTAAACCATTGACTGTGGTCATATTAACATTGCCTGGGTCGCTTCATTCAACGTCTCTAATGGTTACTCTAAATTCACTTGTATTAACGTCATTGATCAGTCACGCGTGTTCTTAAAAATACACTTGTAGTTCACGTTTATTTAGTTTCATACTGTAATTATGTATCTTGTATTTTCCATTAGAAGTTCTATGTAGAAAGTTAAGACATTCATCTTTTATATGTTATTGTTATTAGTGTTTATAACGTGATATTCTTTGTTTCAATATATAATAACTTTTTCACTGTCAAAAACATTTCTTCAATATATTTGAAACTTTGTTTTGTGTGCACATTTTCATTGACGATGATCTTGGAGTGTTTAGTGTAATAGGTTGGTGTGTTGGTGTACAGAAGAGTTATGGTGTGTCAAGGTGTACCCACCTTGGCTCCTTTCCACGTACTCTGCCGCAGCCAACTCGCCTCACCTCCAACTTTTGTTGAATCTATCAAGGAAACAAATCAATAGTTACATCGTTTCTTTTTAAGGGAGGTGAATATATTTTTTTTTCAATGGTGTACTGGCAAATTAAATTAAGAGAACAGCGATAGAGATGGTGGCAAATATTTACAGGCAGAGTCTAAAGCCGTCTGGCCTCTGGCATCGTTCTGTGCAACAGAAAAAAAATAACTGCATGTAATATCCTACACTTAGGAAGTGGATATATGTATGTGCATACTTACCGTTTTGTTTTTGCTGGGGTTGAGCCTTGGCTTCTGTCCCCCATCTCTAACTTCGTTGACCAACATTGCTGGTTTCTGGCCTCTTAACCTCCCTGTCATACTTACCAGGTACTCTTAAAACCGTGAATGGCGTTGCCTCCACAATTTCCCCGTTCAATTCATTTTAATTTTCTATTACCCTGAGACGGTAACTATTTTCTTAAAAATTTGTAATTTTTCTTTCATTTGTGTTCTCTTGTTTTTGATCCATGCATTTAACATCCTTTCCTTGTCCATCCTGTCAGTCCTGTTTTGTCATAATCATGTCTCATAGTTTGGTCATCTGTAGTCGTCAGATTCAGTCATTTCAATTTCTCAGTACCTGTTATGGTTGCAAACCTTGGGACCTTGTCAAACTTGTAAACGTGATTGATCAAGATGGGTCTGACGTACGTTGTGTATAGGGTCATAAGGATCCTTTATTAAGGTTCCTAAAGGCTGTAGAGGTTCACTAACCTCGCACTGGGTGTTGAAGGTCGCTGTCTTCTGGCGATATGTTCAGTGTGAGGTTCATTCCTAATTCTTTTGTTGTTGTTGATGTTTCTTGTTTCACTACACCCAGCTTGTACTCCATCTCTGGTCTCTTCTCCACTCTTTCGAATTGCAAGGTCTTGTACTAATTGGACTGAACTCCAGCAGCCACTTGTTTTACCATCCTTGCAACATGTCTGAGATCCGTGGTAAACTTAAATTGATATGTTTCAGACCCTTGGTAAAGCCAATATCGCTTGAACTAGGTTTAAATGTTAAGCGACTGTAAATTAATAAATAAAAATGGACGGGAGGCTCGAACTGTGGCCGTGGCGGTGGCTGTGGTGGCGGTGGCTGTTGTGGCCGTGGTGACGGTGGCGGCGGTGACGGTGGCGACAGCGGTGGTGACGGCGGCGGCGGCAGGTCCAACACTTTACCGCTGAGCTACACAGGTAATTCTGAGAATTCGTTTATATTCTGGCCACCATTGATGGTATTTTTACATTTTTTGGCATCATGGCCACCATCAGGTTATTGTGGGCACTTTGTTTACATCTGGGGCACGATAATAAACTTTTGTTTACCTCTTAACATTATAGGCAGAACAAAAAGGCTCCCTCACCTTTCACGTTGTGACTTATAAAAGATCTAAGTCGGACCGAAACGTCGTCATAAGCTTCTCTCTCCTCGGTGCAGGTTATTTGTGTATTACAAACACTTAATCTTAGTTTGTCAACTGTAAGAGGAGTTGGTAACATTGTATTTACATACGAAATTGATCAACTTTTCCGTCCTCATCATCGTCTTCGTCATAAGTTGTTTAGTATTGTGTAGTTTATCATCTGGGGAAACACTGTGGTCAGGTGCTGCCATTAAGGAACACTGTTTCCAGTTTTACAATATATAAATTATTTTTCTACAGTGTATGTCACGACATATAGAATGATAGGGAATGTTACCTGAAACAGCTGGGATGACTAACACGAGTTTCCACGAAGTTACCGTAAACTGAATCTAAAACAATTAGTGTTTCCAGTAAGTCTCACTGTCAAAAAAAATATTACCATGAACATACAGGGGTTATGCAGCACCTGGGAGATGTGGGGGTAGTCGGGTTTGCTCCAAGGAATAGGAGGAGAGCATTGATTTCTTAAATTAAAAATCCTTCACCAAGATACTGATGTGTTGCCTGGGTGAGGGTGGTATTGTGGTCTTGTTACTGTGGTTGTTCCAGCAGCAACACACTAGTTAACTCAGCCACACACACCATGGTAACACACTAACTCAGCAACGCACTAAATGGTTACACTGGTTAACTCAGCAACACACACCATGATAACACACTGGTTAACTCAGCAACACACACCATGGTAACACACTGGTTAACTCAGCAACACACACCATGGTAACACACTGGTTAACTCACCAACACACACCATAGTAACACTTAACTCAACACACACCATGGTAACAAACTGGTTAACTCACCAACACACACCATGGTAACGCTAGTTAACTCACCAACACACACCATGGTAACACACTGGTTAACTCAGCAACACACACCATGGTAACACACTGGTTAACTCAGCAACACACACCATGGTAACACACTGGTTAACTCAGCAACACACACATGGTAACACAGTTAACTCGCCAACACACACTATGGTAACACACTGGTTAACTCGCCAACACACACCATGGTAACACTGGTTAACTCAATAACACACACAACGGTAACACACACAATGAGCGACCGTCTGAGAGATCATTACCAGTTATAATAGTTACTTTTCACTGTATCACGTACAATTCGCCATATTTTCGGGCATTACCGCTCATATGAACTCTTAGTTTCATATCTTTTTTATAGTTTTTTTTTTTTTGTCTTATCAAACGTAACGTCAGTCAGTATTTGAAGCTTTGGTGGTAAAATATTCTTACTAAGGTCTAAGTTTATGCCTTGTGTGATATACTCAATCATAACATGATACTCAAAAATTACACATGTGACTGTCTTAGAAAGCGAGCATAGATAGTAAGGAATTGGTACAGGCACTTAATATCAGCCATAGCTGCAGCCTCAGAGGCCCGAGGCATGCAGGCGAGCAATACCTGTGAATTACACATACCGACCCACACCTGCTAACGGCTGGTTATAAGCCCTGAGGGTGGTGACACTGACACACAATACCCACCTGCTCCTCCCTGGTGGCGGCGGCGGCGGTGGTGGGCAGACAGATAAGGTAATGTTACTAGTGCTACCTGGAATGTGTTCTGGAGGACTTTTCACTAAACAGTTTGCTGCCACTTGGCAGCTGCAGTAGGGTCTGGCCCTCCTGCACTCATGTTGATACTTACACTTTTGGCGAGTTCGGCTGGGCGCTCGTCATTTACGTCGAACAAAAGAATAGGTATAACACTATTTCTTTTCAAGCCATTTTGCACTCATTCTTTGAAGCATGGGCGACTTTTCCCGCCTGTCACTTCGCCTTTTGCCATGCGCACGGAATGCTAGCCACTCTGGTGTCATCTGCGCATTGTCCGCCAATCAACGCGTGAATTGATGACAGAAAACAGTTTGATTGGTGTACAATGAGCGGGAAACAATGTGATTGGCGCACAATAGATGGAGGGCGGGGCTGGAGCAGAAAGGGGCGTAACTCCCCGCGCAGGTCGGTAGCAGTAGGGCCCAGGCAGCAGTGGCTGCCACATCCCCGCCAGCTACAGCTACGACCGTGTGTGGGTTACACGCGTCTCTGCCGCCGTTCTCATACTAACCTCCACTCACCACATGGATCTTTGAACCTCAAGTTTACAAATTATTTTCAAAGAAATTAGACACATAAATTCACTGCACAACAAATAGTTTATGAAAGAAATGTAAATATATATTTTTTAACAAGTCATAAGTCATTCACGTCGCCTCAAGGAATTTTTCGTATTTAATAAATTATTTTATAAAAATAATAAGTCATGGTCTTCTGTATTATAAAATCAAGTACTTCAGATATGTAGAATAATAATGTCTAAAAATCGCGTATATATTTATGTATATAATTTAAACTCAAATTTAATATAACACATGTGCAAAACTCAAAGAACGTAGTACCAATTGTATTTTAGATCAACATTTATAAGTAATCTTAATGTGTGTGATTTTATATATATATATATAGGGAGGTACCACCACTATAACTGGACTGGGGACCCTCATCCTCAAAGAAGACAAACGCACCTCAGTGGAAACTTAAGGTTCTCCTCGGAGCTGTTTGAATATTTTCTTCTACCACCCCCTATATTTTATATTCTATATGAACTTTATTAATAGACAGAATGCATTGACACAAAACAGACATAAATACATTGGTACAATATATCAACGATTATGAATCTCCCCCAGCTCCTCCGAAGCTGGACGCGAGCCCAGTATGCAGCATGCATTTCCTCTCTGAATGGCCACGCTGAAGTGCTGGAACATGAAAGTGTGTGTGCAATATAATATATAATATATATATATTATATATATATATATATATATATATATATATAAATTGTTTAGTCATGCATACAGCATGCATATCAAAATAAATTATTAATCATCTTCAGCTCCTAAGAATCTGGACAAGCGTTACCCCTCTTGGATGGCCACATTAAAACACTACGATAGAAAGTGGAAGCTCATGGGGTCACTAATCTCAGGATGAGTTTTCAGTCATGCTTCACCCAGTATGGATTTTCTAATAAAGTTAAGAAATCTATTAGTCTGAGGTGGATGGCTCGAGTCAGGCATCCTGTCAGAAGGTTCAGCAACTACAATGGCTTAAAGATTTCCTTCCAGCAAAACTAAATGATTATAACTATGACCATAATTTTTAAAGGGGTAGACTGGTAAGCCAGCGGAAGGCTTTGCTCAGATGACCAAAAGTTCCAATGGCGGGTCATCATCGGACTAAGATCCGCGTCGGGATACACTTGTCCTGTTTCTTGACGGACCTTACCTAACCTAACCTTCCAGCAGGACTCAAGTTGGTTTTATACGGGGATTGTTGTCTTGGATAGTATAAAATCACACACACCAGTTTGTAGCTCCTCTGCACTTTCTCTAGCTTGTTTATATTTAATGTACGAGTGCCATACAATCGCTGTATACTCTAGTTCTGGCATACTTGGCTGTAAACTGCCTTTTTAGTACTTACTCATCCATATATTTAAACACTTGAACTTTGTGTGTCTGTTTGTCTCTGTCTTTACTGTTTTTTTTTTTTTCAACAGAATGAATGTAACAGCAGTTGTTGTATGAGAGACGCACAGTGAAGCAAGGATGCAGGCACAATTATCTCTCATCTCTCCCCACAAGTCTCCATCTCCCCTACGAGACTGTGGCTTTCTCTAGGTTAGGTTACCTTAGATTAGTGGAGCCTCCTTAGTTCTGTCTCAGATGATTTGAACCTTACTGTTACTGTCTCGGATAATGTGACCCTTTTTAATTCCGTATCTCAGATGGTGGGAACCTCATTACTTTCTCATATGGTGGAAACCTCCCACGATCTCTCACAGATGGTATGAAACTTATTTCTCTCATTGATGTAAACCACCTTAATTTTGTCTCAGATGTGAACCACCTTAATTCTCTCACACACGTATGAACATTTTAATTCTCTCAGACGCTGTGCAACTCTGGTAATTGCTTTTACTTAATATATTACCATACATAATGTAGGTAAAACATTTTCTTGAGGATATTGAAATGATGTAATTTTTTGATTATAACTTTATTTCTTATACATAGTTTCGTGTCAAAAAGCGACGTAAACCCAGTTAAATTGTTCTTTTTTGAAAACCTTCTGTCGAGCCTCCCAAACTCCATGTGACCCCCCTTTCCCCAATAGGGTTTAACGTTTAACATAAATCAGATGAGGACCTGATGAAGGGTCAAGGATATGTGATGCAAGACACAGGTGTGTGCCGTCTGGTGGACACAATAAATAACGTTGGTAATGAAAATAAGAATAAGCAAACACTGCTAAGGAATCCTGGTCTCAGACGTCTCTTCGTCTTCATGATGAAGTTTGCTACGAGCATGTTAGTGTCTTTATGAAGTTAGCTTTAAGGAGCTTGAATGTTTTTATAAAGATATGTGCAAGAATGTTATACCTTTCATGAAGAGAGAGAAATGTTACTTGATGTTTTCATAAGAGAAGAAAAAAACCACTAGTGAGTTACATGGGATCCTCTCTTGGTGTTTCTCCAACGAAGTTACTCATCGGTTTCTGCACGTAGGTGCACAACTCTCTCCTCACAATCATATCTGTATTATGCATCTACCTGTCCATGGAGGAAAAGGTAATATGTGATGCCGAACTTATTGGGAAGGAACAAACATCCCCAAGTTATGGTTAAATATAGTTTTATAGGTTTAGTGACCTATCATATCCTAACCTATTTTAAACTAAAAATTAATAGTTTCTGTAAGTATACTGCGTTCGGAAATGGACGCTGAGTAATGCGTAAAAAATTAATGGTATTACTATGGAAATGTTGTAGTACTAAGTGAATAGGTTCTTACGAGGTTTGTGGAGAAGCCACAGGAACACTGGGAAGAGGAAAAGATGCAACATCTCAAGAGTGTAAGATGTGTCAACGAGGAGAGAATAAAGATGAGCATTTCTACGAGAGGTAGTGACGACGGTGACTAGATTGCTAGATTGTTGTCTACCACTCGAGAGCAGTGGTAGACAAGTAGATTAAGAGGTCAATTATTGAACAAGTACAAGTTCCAAGATTTATATGATGGAAACTATTCAGTGTGTAGAAGAAACAAGTGAATAGGAAAGAAGCGGAGATGACAATGTTGTTAAAAGAAACTGTGGAGGTATGGATTAAGAGGAGAGATTTAATGAACTTAAAACTTTAAAAGAGAATAATCAGAGGAACACGATCATAACGTATAAAATACTGGAAAAGTAAAGAAAGGATGTTTGAGATGCGAGGAGAGGGAGCCGCCATGGGCCATGGATGGCATTATAACGCATATGTTTCGTCTTGCCTAACATGGATGGCAGCCAGAGACGCACATGATCCGCAAGAATGTTTGGAATTACAACTTGATCCTCAGGGTGGTGAGCAAAACGCACCAGTCAAAGTAGAAGCAAACTTCATATTTTCAAGAATAGATATGATTGAACCCTGGAAGCCCAAAAAATCAGGAAAACCAGTTGGCTGAAGTAAAGGGGTAGGGCCAAGAGGCTATTTCTAGATAAACAGATGCACAACCCAATGGTTTCGGATTCTATGTCTAGGTATAAGGAAGGTATAAGGTATAAGGAAGTCTCCTTACACTTGATGCCCTAGTCACCTAGCAGTATATAGGTTCCTATCTGGGTCTTGGTCGAGTGTTGTGGGTTGCTTTCTCGAATGGAAAGTAAGACAGGTCACCACGATCATCGCTCAGCAACTCGGACTACATAAAAAATTATCACATAAAAAGGAAATACACACTACACACACAGGGAGCTTTCAGAGTGAATCCACACTGAAAAGTTTATCATAAAAATATTATCATTCGATGGAGATGTTACTATTGGAGGAGTTCTTTCACGCAATCCGACTCCAGCATATCAATTGAGCTAGTAAACTTTACACAGCATTGTCCTGACACAGCATCTCTGGTGTAGTTTTGTATAACCTCCCTGGATGTTTATCAGGCGTCTCCATGGTTACAGGAAGCTAGGAGTCCCTGGGCGTCTCCATGGTTACAGGAAGCTAGGAGTCCCTGGGCGTCTCCATGGTTACAGGAAGCTAGGAGTCCCTGGGCGTCTCCATGGTTACAGGAAGCTAGGAGTCCCTGGGCGTCTCCATGGTTACATGAAGCTAGGAGTCCCTGGGCGTCTCCATGGTTACATGAAGCTAGGAGTCCCTGGGCGTCTCCATGGTTACATGAAGCTAGGAGTCCCTGGGCGTCTCCATGGTTACATGAAGCTAGGAGTCCCTGGGCGTCTCCATGGTTACATGAAGCTAGGAGTCCCTGGGCGTCTCCATGGTTACATGAAGCTAGGAGTCCCTGGGCGTCTCCATGGTTACATGAAGCTAGGAGTCCCTGGGCGTCTCCATGGTTACATGAAGCTAGGAGTCCCTGAGCGTCTCCATGGTTACATGAAGCTAGGAGTCCCTGGGCGTCTCCATGGTTACATGAAGCTAGGAGTCCCTGGGCGTCTCCATGGTTACATGAAGCTAGGAGTCCCTGGGCGTCTCCATGGTTACATGAAGCTAGGAGTCCCTGGGCGTCTCCATGGTTACATGAAGCTAGGAGTCCCTGGGCGTCTCCATGGTTACATGAAGCTAGGAGTCCCTGGGCGTCTCCATGGTTACATGAAGCTAGGAGTCCCTGGGCGTCTCCATGGTTACATGAAGCTAGGAGTCCCTGGGCGTCTCCATGGTTACATGAAGCTAGGAGTCCCTGGGCGTCTCCATGGTTACATGAAGCTAGGAGTCCCTGGGCGTCTCCATGGTTACATGAAGCTGGGAGTCCCTGGGCGTCTCCATGGTTACGAAGCTAGGAGTCCCTGGGCGTCTCCAGGGTTTACTTGAAGCTAGGAGTCCCTGGGCGTCTCCAGGTTACAAACTAGGAGCCCCTGGGCGTCTCCTTTGGTTACGGGGAAGCTAGGAGTCCCTGGGCGCTCCATGGTTACAAAAGCTAGGAGTCCCCTTGGGCGCCTCCAGGGGTTACAAAAGCTGGGAGTCCCTGGGCGGTCCCAGGGTTAAAGGAAGCTAGGAGCCCCGGGGGGTCATGGTTACGGAAGCTAGGATCTTGGGCGTCCCATTTTTACAGGAAGCTGGAGTCCTGGGCTCTCCAGGGTTACAGGAAGCTGGGATCCCTGGGCTTCCCCCATGGTTTTACGGAACTAGGAGTCCCTGGCGGCTCCATGGTTCGGGAAGTAGGGCCCCGGGGCGTCTCCAGGTTACAGGAAGTAGGATCTTGGCGCCCCATGGTTACGAAGCTAGGAGTCCTGGCGTCTCCATGGTTACAGGAAGCTAGAGCCCCTGGGGGGCCCAGGGTTACAGGAAGCAAAGAGTCCTGGCGTCTCCATGTACAGGAAGCTAGGAGTCTTGGGCGTCCCCAGGGTTTACAGGAAGCTGGGAGCCCCGGGGGCGTCTCCTGGTTACGGGAACTAGGATCCCGGGGCGGCCCCATGGTTACGGGAAGCTAGAGTCCCTGGCGTCCTCCATGGAAAGGGAAAGCTAGGAGTCCCTGGGCGTCTCCTGGTTACAGGAAGCTGGAGTCCCTGGGCGTCTCCATGGTTACGAAGCTAGGAGTCCCGGGCGCTCCATGGTTACGGGGACTAGGAGTCCCTGGGGGGGCTCCATGGTTACGGAAGCTAGGAGTCCGGGGGGTCTCCAGGGTTCAGGAAGCTGGGATCTCTGGGCGTCTCCATGGTTACAGGAAGCTAGGAGTCCCTGGGCTCTCCATGGTTAAGGAACTGGGATCCCGGGGCGGCTCCAGGGTTTAAGGGAATGGAGTCTCGGGGCGCTCCATGGTTACAGAAGCTAGGAGTCTTGGGGCGTCTCCAGGGACAGGAAGCAGAGTCCCCTGGGGTCTCCATGGTTTAAAAGGGAAGCTGGGAGTCCCGGGGCGCTCCATGGTTAAAACGGGAAGCTAAAGGGAGTCCTGGGCGTCCCCATGGTTACAGGAACTAGGAGTCTCTGGGGGTCCCCATGTCCAGGAGGGTGGAGTCACTATGGATCTCCAGGCTGCCTTAGCTGCCTTGATGAGTCCCGCGGAAAAGGGGCATTGCACATTTCGGGAACGGTTTCTGAAATGTGTAGAAAATTTTATTTTTTTTTTTTAATTTTTTTTTTAATTGTTTATTTTGAAAAAGGGGACGTCTCCCTAGAGATGTCCCCAAAAAAAGAAGCGCTTTAACCATAAAAGTCTATCATGTCTTGCGAGAGGAGCCCCGATACTACATTCAGACGCCCCTACTACTACAATACCAAACCCCTCATTTAGAGTGCGGGCCGTACTTTCACCTCCAAGACTCGTTCCAGCAACCCGGTTTCCTGAACCTTTCATTTACTTTTGCTCACACTCGCAGAAATTTAGTCATAAAAACCACTCGCCTCCACTCCTGTCTTAACTCTTGCGCACTCCTGTTGGATGCACAAGCCCCTCACACACAAAACCTCCTTTATCCCCCCTAAAGAATCTTATCTAGGACAACCCCTTCAGTTTGTTTTTATTTCACTCATAACACGAGAAAGCGTCACTGAATCAGCTTCAAATTTTCAGTGCTGGTGTCTGGTAACCAGGGCAAGTCTGAGGACAGTTGGCATGTTCAGGAGCCCTGTGACTATGGTCAGTGAAATTAGTGTCTAGGTAGCTACATACACATCTGCCAATTTTAAGTGCAAAATAGTGTGAAATTTTTATTCACATTAAATCATATTAAATATATTTGAGTCTGTCCCTTCTGGATGTCTTCAGTATTGTATTTCGTAGCTGATGCATCTCACGGTCAAGATTACGCATTGTGTGTGGCCAAATTTGTCAATATATTAAGTTATTGTCTAAAACTTGGAATCGTTGGAATTTATGCAATAACTGGAAAGTGACTTCTGATTGACTTCAAAATTTCAGCTCTGGTGTGTTTTCCAGTAAGTAAAGTTTGCATTATTATGGCCTCGTCTTGTCACCTTCAAAATGTTAATAGTGATGATTCCATGAGAATTATAATACCTTAAACTGTGTAGGTGTGGATTTGAAGTTTTAATTGATTAAAAAACTGAAATCGTTAATTCAGAACAATTATCAGAGAATATCTTTCCTGATAGGCTTTAACTCCATTGTCTTTATGGACATTATTGAAAGGAAGTTATATTTTTCTTTTAGGATTGAAGCGAATTATAAATATAACTGAAAAATATGGAAAACTCACATTTTTATGACAAATTTTTACTAGTTTAGTGAATGCTTAAATAATGCACGACGCTATGCCAAAACCGAAGTATCGTTGACGCCAGTTATTGACTCCCACTAATTTCCTCCAAGATTTTCGTTTATCACTACAAAACGCCTTATCCGATCTACTTCAAAATTTTCACACTGGTGAACAGGTACGTACAGGTTGGTTGAAAAATGTAGGCGCCATCTGCTCAAAGTTTGTGTAAATCATTCCCGGAACTGGTTGCATGAGGTGACGACAGAAAACCTGTTGATCGACTTGACTGTCAGTACTGGTGTATCCTACCTGAAGGAAGGTTGGTGGTAGTAGTGAAGTGTGGCTGCTATTTCTGCTCGTATTAAATAAATGAAATATGCCTATCCAAGGTAGAGGGGCTTGGATCAAATCTGAATGTTTTTCATTCCCTAGCCACTATAGAAGCCCTACAGGTTTAGCGCTTCCCCACGATTAAAAAAAAATCTGAATGGCATCAGTATATAATGGTTGATGTATCTTATGAAATGGATAACATATTTTTATTGGGTTTAAGCTATGTAGATTTTTTTTAATTCTGTGCATTAACTGTAGAATGTATTAGTACAGCAGACCGGTAGGCCTGCTGTAGTGCTACATTCTTATGAGTGGGAATAGTTGGATGTTAGTTTTGCCTAGGGCAAGTAGGCCTACTGCAGTGCCTCTATTGCGTTGCTAAGTTTCCAGCCTGCAGAAACAGTGTTGTGTATAACACAAATTACCAGTAGGCTGTGTTTATATAGATTACCACTTGTACACCGGGACAGAAATATTCATAAGCAAGTGTTGGCATCAATTACCTTAAGAAGCTGAGTGGCTGAAGGTCTCTTTACCACGTCCACCTCAAGACACTTGTCAAGGAAGTCCTTAAAAAACAGCGAGAGTCTCTCCCTCTGCTTGATCTCTGGTTTTCCGTTAGTAGTGATCAGGTAGAGTGCTCTCACCGGGTCCTCCTTCATATATGGCGGCTCTCCTTCATCCACCAAAATTATATGATCGTATAAAATTTTACATTTGGAGACTGGTTTCTTTTCTACATTTTTAAACTTAGCTTTTGACAACATGAATTACATTTTCAAGGTTTGCTTTAGAGAAATAAAAAAAACTTAAGGAAAAATACTGAGATTTCACCTTGAGGCTGTTAGAATATTTCACTCCTATATAATAATATATATATATATATATATATATATATATATATTATATTATATATATAATATATATATAATATATATATATATATATATATATATATAATATATATATATATATATATAAATATATATATATATATTTATCTGGCCGATTCCCACCAAGGCAGGGTGGCCCGAAAAAGAAAAACTTTCACCATCATTCACTCCATCACTGTCTTGCCAGAAGGGTGCTTTACACTACAGTTTTTAAACTGCAACATTAACACCCCTCCTTCAGAGTGCAGGCACTGTACTTCCCATCTCCAGGACTCAAGTCCGGCCTGCCGGTTTTCCCTGAACCCCTTCATAAATGTTACTTTGCTCACACTCCAACAGCACGTCAGATATTAAAAACCATTCGTCTCCATTCACTCCTATCAAACACGCTCACGCACGCCTGCTGGAAGTCCAAGCCCCTCGCACACAAAACCTCTACCCCCTCCCTCCAACCTTTCCTAGGCCGACCCCTACCCCGCCTTCCTTCCACTACAGACTGATACACTCTTGAAGTCATTCTGTTTCGCTCCATTCTCTCTACATGTCCGAACCACCTCAACAACCCTTCCTCAGCCCTCTGGACAACAATTTTGGTAATCCCGCACCTCCTCCTAACTTCCAAACTACGAATTCTCTGCATTATATTCACACCACACATTGCCCTCAGACATGACATCTCTACTGCCTCCAGCCTTCTCCTCGCTGCAACATTCATCACCCATGCTTCACACCCATATAAGAGTGTTGTTAAAACTATACTCTCATACATTCCCCTCTTTGCCTCCAAGGACAAAGTTCTTTGTCTCCACAGACTCCTAAGTGCACCACTCACCCTTTTCCCCTCATCAATTCTATGATTCACCTCATCCTTCATAGACCCATCCGCTGACACGTCCACTCCCAAATATCTGAATACATTCACCTCCTCCATACTCTTTCCCTCCAATCTGATACCCAATCTTTCATCACCTAATATTTTTGTTATCCTCATAACCTTACTCTTTCCTGTATTCACTTTTAATTTTCTTCTTTTGCACACCCTACCAAATTCATCCACCAATCTCTGCAACTTCTCTTCAGAATCTCCCAAGAGCACAGTGTCATCAGCAAAGAGCAACTGTGACAACTCCCACTTTATGTGTGATTCTTTATCTTTTAACTCCACGCCTCTTGTCAAGACCTTCGCATTTACTTCTCTTACAACCCCATCTATAAATATATTAAACAACCACGGTGACATCACACATCCTTGTCTAAGGCCTACTTTTACTGGGAAATAATTTCCCTCTTTCCTATGTACTCTAACTTGAGCCTCACTATCCTCGTAAAAACTCTTCACTGCTTTCAGTAACCTACCTCCTACACCATACACCTGCAACATCTGCCACATTGCCCCCCTATTCACCCTGTCATACGCCTTTTCCAAATCCATAAATGCCACAAAGACCTCTTTAGCCTTATCTAAATACTGTTCACTTATATGTTTCACTGTAAACACCTGGTCCACACACCCCCTACCTTTCCTAAAGCCTCCTTGTTCATCTGCTATCCTATTTTCCGTCTTACTCTTAATTCTTTCAATAATAACTCTACCATACACTTTGCCAGGTATACTCAACAGACTTATCCCCCTATAATTTTTGCACTCTCTTTTATCATCTTTGCCTTTATACAAAGGAACTATGCATGCTCTCTGCCAATCCCTAGGTACCTTACCCTCTTCCATACATTTATTAAATAATTGCACCAACCACTCCAAAACTATATCCCCACCTGCTTTTAACATTTCTATCTTTATCCCATCAATCCCGGCTGCCTTACCCCCTTTCATTTTACCTACTGCCTCACGAACTTCCCCCACACTCACAACTGGCTCTTCCTCACTCCTGCAAGATGTTATTCCTCCTTGCCCTATACACGAAATCACAGCTTCCCTATCTTCATCAACATTTAACAATTCCTCAAAATATTCCCTCCATCTTCCCAATACCTCTAACTCTCCATTTAATAACTCTCCTATTTTTAACTGACAAATCCATTTGTTCTCTAGGCTTTCTTAACTTGTTAATCTCACTCCAAAACTTTTTCTTATTTTCAACAAAATTTGTTGATAACATCTCACCCACTCTCTCATTTGCTCTCTTTTTACATTGTTTCACCACTCTCTTAACCTCTCTCTTTTTCTCCATATACTCTTCCCTCCTTTCATCACTTCTACTTTGTAAAAACTTCTATATATGCTAACTTTTTCTCCCTTACTACTCTCTTCACATCATCATTCCACCAATCGCTCCTCTTTCCTCCCGCACCCACTTTCCTGTAACCACAAACTTCTGCTGAACACTCTAACACTACATTTTTAAACCTACCCCATACCTCTTCGACCCCATTGCCTATGCTCTCATTAGCCCATCTATCCTCCAATAGCTGTTTATATCTTTCCCTAACTGCCTCCTCTTTTAGTTTATAAACCTTCACCTCTCTCTTCCCTGATGCTTCTATTCTCCTTGTATCCCATCTACCTTTTACTCTCAGTGTAGCTACAACTAGAAAGTGATCTGATACATCTGTGGCCCCCCCCTATAAACATGTACATCCTGAAGTCTACTCAACAGTCTTTTATCTACCAATACATAATCCAACAAACTACTGTCATTTCGCCCTACATCATATCTTGTATACTTATTTATCCTCTTTTTCTTAAAATATGTATTACCTATAACTAAACCCCTTTCTATACAAAGTTCAATCAAAGGGCTCCCATTATCATTTACACCTGGCACCCCAAACTTACCTACCACACCCTCTCTAAAAGCTTCTCCTACTTTAGCATTCAGATCCCCTACCACAATTACTCTCTCACTTGGTTCAAAGGCTCCTATACATTCACTTAACATCTCCCAAAATCTCTCTCTCTCCTCTGCATTCCTCTCTTCTCCAGGTGCATACACGCTTATTATGACCCACTTCTCGCATCCAACCTTTACTTTAATCCACATAATTCTTGAATTTACACATTCATATTCTCTTTTCTCCTTCCATAACTGATCATTCAACATTACTGCTACCCCTTCCTTTGCTCTAACTCTCTCAGATACTCCAGATTTAATCCCATTTATTTCCCCCCACTGAAACTCCCCTACCCCCTTCAGCTTTGTTTCGCTTAGGGCCAGGACATCCAACTTCTTTTCATTCATAACATCAGCAATCATCTGTTTCTTGTCATCCGCACTAAATCCACGCACATTTAAGCATCCCAGTTTTATAAAGTTTTTCTTCTCTTTTTTAGTAAATGTCTACAGGAGAAGGGGTTACTAGCCCATTGCTCCCGGCATTTTAGTCGCCTCATACGACACGCATGGCTTACGGAGGAAAGATTCTTTTCCACTTCCCCATGGACAATAGAAGAAATAAAGAGGAACAAGAGCTATTTAGAAAAAGGAGAAAAACCTAGATGTATGTATATATATATGCATGTGTGCGTCTGTGAAGTGTGACCAAAGTGTAAGTAGGAGTAGCAAGATATCCCTGTTATCTAGCGTGTTTGAGACAAAAAGAAACCAGCAATCCTACCATCATGCAAAACAGTTACAGGTTTCTGTTTCACAGTCATCTGGCAGGACGGTAGTACTTCCCTGGGTGGTTGCTGTCTACCAACCTACTACCTACTACCGACTTGTTGAAAAAAAAAAAATATATATATATATATATATATATATATATATATATATATATATAATATATATATATATAATATATATATATATATATATATTATATATATAATATATATATTATATATATAATATATATATTATATATATAATATATATATTATATATATAATATATATATTATATATATATAACTAAGCCATAATAAACACTTGTCAATGTTCACTAATAACCCACATGGGGACAGTAACACGGAAGATTAGGTGTGTGTGTACGTGTACGTGTACTAAGTTGCAGTAACACGTTTTAAGACAAAAGTGGAAATATTTCAAATTCTGCGTCGGCTGACAATTACCCAGTAAAAACAAGCTCTGGATTATCGAAAAAGAGCTTCCTCATAATGCCTCTTTTATTATTGCATTTGTAAAATTATATATGTTAATTTGAGTACAATGATAAATTCAACTTGCATAAATTTGCTAGGGATACAGAAACTGGTAATAATCCTTACCTAATAATCTGTATAGCGCATGGTATTATTAATGCAGGGTTTAGCGCATGATATTACTGCAGGGTTTTGAAAGACGTTCGCCTAGCTAATTCTGCTGGTTGATTTCCCCTCAAGGAAGGTTCCTTGATGTTGGTGAGGGGCTCTTGATATAGGGAATTGGATCTGTGCTCCAGTTCCCCGAATTAAGCCTGAATGCCTTCCACATCCCCCCCCCCAGGCGCTGTATAATCCTCCGGGTTTAGCGCTTCCCCCTTGATTATAATTATAATAATACTGGCTGATTTGATAATGTACTTTTGTACTTATGGACTCAGCTACGAGTCTATAATTTTAAATTTGTTCTTTCTATAAATGTTGTTATAGGATATGGATGTGGCAAAGTTTTGTTATTGACAAATTTGATGGTATCGAAATAGGTATCAGCAATTTATTATGATATTGAAATAGGTATCAACAAATTTTGAGGGTATCAGTATTGGCAAAAAAAAAATAATGGTATCGTCGCCATCAGTGCTATGGAGGGTGATCATCGCTGTATTATGACCCTGGTGGGTTTAATGTTTGGTTATGATTATAATACATACATCAAAACCATAGGTCCTTTACTTTTAATCTAATAATAAATCTAGGAACACATGTTCCTAGATGCATTATTCTCATCATCAAAAACGTGTTTAAAATGTTGTATTTTATTTGTTTTGAAAGCTGACATTATATGTAATTTTGAGTTCTTTGATGGTGAAGTTTGAAAGATCTTTGAAACAACTTGAACTTGCTCATCTCTGTTTATTGACAAAGAAAACATTCTGTAAACTATTTCCATAAATAGAATAGATTAAATTAGGATATTATCACATCAAATTTTTTCTTAACCCTTTAAACAGTGTAAAATAAACTGTGTGTGTGTGTGTGTGTGTGTGTGTGTGTGTGTGTGTGTGTGTGTGTGTGTGTGTGTGTGTGTGTGTGTGTGTGTGTGAGAGAGAGAGAGACGGAGACTCACCGTCAAGCATTTCTATCGCCATGATACCGAGTGACCAGATATCAATCTTTGGTCCGTATTGTTTCTGACTGACCAGCTCTGGTGCCATCCAGTAGGGCGTCCCCACCATAGTCGTTCTCTGAGTCCTCTCCTGCGACAGCTGCGCACAGAACCCGAAGTCGGCTGACAAGGAATGTATACACTTGAATCATAAGACATTTCTGCCTTTCAAAATATACATGAGGAGAGGATGAATAGCAGACTAAAGAAACTTTTTTTTTTTTTTTTTTTTTTTTTTTTTTTTTTTTTTTTTTTTTTTTGAGGGTGGATAAAAAGGAATTTGTAGGCCCATCGAGGAGTGTCACCTCGTGTGTCGATATATTCATATTAAGAGAAATGTAAAAAGGGATAAGGAAAGCTAAACCCAGGTGAAAATTGAAGTTGCAAAGGAATCGTAAAAGGGTGTGCGTGCGAGTGTGTGTACTCGCCTAGTTGTACTCACCTAGTTGAGGTTGCGGGGGTCGAGTCCGAGCTCCTGGCCCCGCCTCTTCACTGATCGCTACTAGGTCACACTCTCTGAACCGTGAGCTTTATCATACCTCTGCTTAAAGCTATGTATGGATCCTGCCTCCACTACATCGCTTCCCAAACTATTCCACTTACTGACTACTCTGTGGCTGAAGAAATACTTCCTAACATCCCTGTGATTCATCTGTGTCTTCAACTTCCAACTGTGTCCCCTTGTTACTGTGTCCAATCTCTGGAACATCCTGTCTTTGTCCACCTTGTCAATTCCTCTCAGTATTTTGTATGTCGTTATCATGTCCCCCCTATCTAACCTGTCCTCCAGTGTCGTCAGGTTGATTTCCCTTAACCTCTCCTCGTAGGACATACCTCTTAGCTCTGGGACTAGTCTTGTTGCAAACCTTTGCACTTTCTCTAGTTTCTTTACATGCTTGGCTAGGTGTGGGTTCCAAACTGGTGCCGCATACTCCAATATGGGCCTAACGTACACGGTGTACAGGGTCCTGAACGATTCCTTATTAAGATGTCGGAATGCTGTTCTGAGGTTTGCTAGGCGCCCATATGCTGCAGCAGTTATTTGATTGATGTGCGCTTCAGGAGATGTGCCTGGTGTTATACTCGCCCCAAGATCTTTTTTCCTTGAGTGAGGTTTGTAGTCTCTGGCCCCCTAGACTGTACTCCGTCTGCGGTCTTCTTTGCCCTTCCCCAATCTTCATGACTTTGCACTTGGTGGGATTGAACTCCAGGAGCCAATTGCTGGACCAGGTCTGCAGCCTGTCCAGATCCCTTTGTAGTTCTGCCTGGTCTTCGATCGAGTGAATTCTTCTCATCAACTTCACGTCATCTGCAAACAGGGACACCTCAGAGTTTATTCCTTCCGTCATGTCGTTCACAAATACCAGAAACAGCACTGGTCCTAGGACTGACCCCTGTGGGACCCCGCTGGTCACAGGTGCCCACTCTGACACCTCGCCACGTACCATGACTCGCTGCTGTCTTCCTGACAAGTATTCCCTGATCCATTGTAGTGCCTTCCCTGTTATCCCTGCTTGGTCCTCCAGTTTTTGCACCAATCTCTTGTGTGGAACTGTGTCAAACGCCTTCTTGCAGTCCAAGAATATGCAATCCACCCATCCCTCTCTTGTCTTACTGCTGTCACCATGTCATAGAACTCCAGTAGGTTTGTGACACAGGATTTCCCATCCCTGAAACCATGTTGGCTGCTGTTGATGAGATCATTCCTTTCTAGGTGTTCCACCACTCTTCTCCTGATAATCTTCTCCATGATTTTGCATACTATACATGTCAGTGACACTGGTCTGTAGTTTAATGCTTCATGTCTGTCTCATTTTTCAAAGATTGGGACTACATTTGCTGTCTTCCATGCCTCAGGCAATCTCCCTGTTTCGATAGATGTATTGAATATTGTTGTTAGGGGTACACATAGCACCTCTGCTCCCTCTCTCAATACCCATGGGGAGATGTTATCTGGCCCCATTGCCTTTGAGGTATCTAGCTCACTCAGAAGCCTCTTCACTTCTTCCTCGGTTGTGTGCACTGTGTCCAGCACATGGTGGTGTGCCCCACCTCTCCGTCTTTCTGGAGTCCCTTCTGTCTCCTCTGTGAACACTTCTTTGAATCTCTTGTTGAGTTCCTCACATACTTCACGGTCATTTCTTGTTGTCTCTCCTCCTTCCTTCCTTAGCCTGATTACTTGGTCCTTGACTGTTGTTTTCCTCCTGATGTGGCTGTACAACAGTTTCGGGTCAGATTTGGCTTTCGCTGCTATGTCATTTTCATATTGTCTTTGGGCCTCCCTTCTTATCTGTGCATATTCGTTTCTGGCTCTACGACTGCTCTCCTTATTCTCCTGGGTCCTTTGCCTTCTATATTTCTTCCATTCCCTAGCACACTTGGTTTTTGCCTCCCTGCACCTTTGGGTAAACCATGGGCTCATCCTGGCTTTTTCATTATTCCTGTTACCCTTGGGTACAAACCTCTCCTCAGCCTCCTTGCATTTTGTTGCTACATATTCCTTCATCTCATTAACTGGCTTCCCTGCCAGTTCTCTGTCCCACTGAACCCCGTTCATGAAGTTCCTCATTCCTGTGTAGTCCCCTTTCTTGTAGTTTGGCTTCATTTGTCCTGGCCTTCCTGCTTCTCCCTCCACTTGTAGCTCTACTGTGTATTCGAAGCTTAAAACCACATGGTCACTGGCCCCAAGGGGTCTTTCATATGTGATGTAGTCGATATCTGCACTACTCAAGGTGAATACTAAGTCCAGCCTTGCTGGTTCATCCTCTCCTCTCTCTCTTGTAGTGTCCCTTACGTGTTGGTACATGAAGTTTTCCAGTACCACCTCCATCATCTTAGCCCTCCATGTATCTTGGCCCCCATGTGGGTCCAAGTTCTCCCAATCGATCTCCTTGTGGTTAAAGTCACCCATTATCAGGAGCTTTGCCCTGCATGCATGAGCTCTTCTGGCCACTCTAGCCAGTGTGTCAACCATCTCTCGATTGCTCTCGTCGTACTCTTGCCTGGCCTCCTGCTGTTCTATGGTGGGTTATACATCACTGCTATTACCACCTTGGGACCTCCAGAGTGAAGCGTTCCCGCTATGTAATCACTTTCTTCTCCACTGTCTCCTCTCTCCAGCTCATCAAAATTCCAGCGATTTTTGATCAGCAATGCCACTCCTCCACCCCCCATGTTCCCTCTGTCTTTCCTCAGAATTTGGTATCCCATTGGAAAGATGGCATCTGTAATCATACCTGTAAGCTTGGTTTCTGTGAGAGCTATGATGTCCAGTGATGCATCTTTGACTCTTTCATGCCACTCCTCCCACTTATTTGTTATACCATCAGCGTTTGTGTACCATACCTTCAGTTTCCTTTCCAACACTGTGGTTTGTGGGGCCTGTGAGGGTGGGAGACCTGGTGGCATACTGTGGGATTCTATAGCTCGGTGTTGGGTGGAGGCTGTGGGTATGGATTGTAGTGTGTGTTGGGATGGTGTGATAGGTTGTATGGTTCTGAGAATAGTTGTGTGTGTGTGCTTGCCCTTGCTGTTCTGTTCTGCTCTGACTGACCTCTGCTGGTTCCATCCTTGTCTCTTTTCCTAGCTCCTTTCGCTTTTTGTCCTCTCCCTCAGCTGCTGTCGTTCTGATTTTGTTCTGTCTCTGTCTAGGAACACCCTCTTGTACTCTTCCGAGTATTTCAATCGTGGTTTCTCTTGGAGGATCCTGTTCCGCACTGTTTCCGTCCTGAGAATCAGCTTGATTGGTCGGTTTCTCCCCTTCGAGTACCCCCCTATTCTCTGAAAATTTACAACCTCGTCCATCTCTTCACCTATTTCCGTGATGATTTTCTCAATCTCCTTACTTTCTTCCTGCTGCCTTTCAGTGTGTGTCCTTTCCTCTCTCTCCTGAAGCCCATGGATAAACACTGATTTTGCCCTTTCCTCCTCCCATTGCCTCACCCTCTGTGACTCTGGATCCTGCCTGTATGTGGTCAGTTTCTCCCTTGATTTTTCCAGTGGCTCTTGACAGCATGGTTGTGCCTCACCATTCGACCTATCACCCTCTCCGTCTGCAACCAGCTGTTCTTCCCTTCCACTCCTTGGCTCTTTTTGGCAGGTTGATATGACCTTAGCATAATTCATAATTCCTTCCTTCCTGTTCGGCCTCGCAGCTTCATATGCTGTGTCTTCTCTGGTCACTGCCCCTGTAACTCGCTTCAGCCTATTTATCTCAACTTCTAGGACCCTTATCTTGGCTACTGCAGTTTCGACTTGTGCCTCCCAATTCTTTGTCTCCTTCTCCAACCTCTTTTCCAGTTTCACAGAGAGCTCTTTCTCCATTTTTTCAGAAAGCTCTCCTAATTTTCTCTCCCACTCTTGTTCCATCCTTTTCCACTGCTCCTCCATCCACTCCTCCCTACCAGAACCATTCTCATCTGATCCTTGGTTCCTGCGAGTCCCCACCATTTTTTTTTTTTTTTGAGAGAAGAGAGAAGGGAAAGGTAGGAGAGAGAGGAGGGAAGAGTGAAAAGGGAAAGGGGGAGAGTGTGAGAGGGGGAAAGAGAGAGAAGGGAAGGGAAGGAGGGGGGGGAGAATGAGAAGGGAAAAATGGGGAAGAGATGGAGAGGGGGGAGAGAGTGAAGGGAAGGGTAGGAGAGGGGGAGATTGAGAAGGAAAATGGGGGAAGAGAGAGAGAGCAAGAAGAGAGGAGAGAGAGAGAAGGCAAGAGGAGAGGGGAGAGAGAGAGGGGGGGAGATGGAAGAGTGAGAGGGGAGAGAGAAGGCAAAGAGAGGGGGAGAGAGAGGGGGAAAGAGGGGGGAGATGGAAGAGCGAGAGGGGAGAGAGGGGCTAGGGGGAGAGAGAGGCTAGGGGGGAGAGAGGGGAGGAGGGGGGAGAGATGGGAAAAGGGAGAGGGGAGAGATAATGGGAGGGGAGAGATGTAAGAGGGTGAGAGATGTTTAGGGGGGGAGGTGTTAGAGGGAAGAGATGTTAGAGGGGAGAGACGGGAGAGGGAAGAGAGAGAGATATAGGTAGAGAGTGAGATAGGTAGAGAGAGAGATTAGGATAGGAAGAGAGGGAGAGAGAGAGGAGCGAGGTTCAGATGGTCAGTTCACAGGACGGTGTGAAATCCTGTGTATGTGTGTGTTTGCGTGTGTACTACAGCTCACAAGTGCTTGTTCGTGTGTGTGTGTGTGTGTGTGTGTGTGTGTGTGTGTGTGTGTGTGTGTGTGTGTGTGTGCGTGCGTGTGTGTGCGCGTGTGCGCGTGTGCGCGTGTGTGCCCCCACTTCTAAGTATTCATACTGCTAATAAATACCGGTAGGTACCAGTAATTCTAAGCTTACCAATACTTGTAACACTTATCGATTCTACTTCTAAAATTCAGAAAGTAGCTAGGCTGTAAAATTTAGCTTGTCACAGCTTAAGTGTGTGACATTATCCCTCACTACCGCTTTACTCCTTGCACTCTCGTCTATGCTATTTCTACTCTAATTCTGGTAATGGCTTGCAGAAGTGAGTGACCAGTATCTAACAGTGATGTAGGACCAGAACTCAACCTTGCAAAATGCAACCTCAACAGGTGAAATACTTGCACTGACAGCGGTGTGATGACAAGTTGCCAGATGATGATGACGTAGTCGTCGTACATAGGCCTTCTATCACTATTTTGTAACTCCTTCACCCGTGATGTTTATAACCATATTTGCTCATGCATCCTGCGTTCCTCAAGTGATTTCACTTTCACTTATGACAGAATACACTTCACATTCGGTGTTACACTTTATATGTATAATGGCATACAAACTGTTGTGACATCACTGCTTCAGTAGGCCTACTGCCACCTTCCCTTGTTGTATATTTTATTTTTTCTTTCTCCTTTTGCTTATTAACTTTTTCACTCTCACATTATGGTGCCCCACATTTCACTTGTTACCCAAACGCTGGTAATTCTTGATCACCCGTTTCCACACTCACTTTGATCTTTTTGTTTGTATCTGTGTGGCAACAGTGCCTAGTAGATCCACAACAGTTTGGCACTTTTAAAAGAAAACACTGAATTCAGGTCTCCTCTCGAATTTTTTCAACTAATAACTACAGTTATCACTCGTAGGTTTGTTCACTGACTTTGTCACTACCACTGATTACTGCTAGCGGTTATTGCACGCCTCAAAAACACGAAGGTTCTCGGAGCCTTGTGCACCCACGTCTGCACCCACCGTGTGTGTGTGTGTGTGTGTGTGTGTGTGTGTGTGTGTGTGTGTGTGTGTGTGTGTGTGTGTGTGTGTGTGTGTGTGTACGTGTACTCACCTATTTGTGGTTGCAGGGGTCGATTCATAGCTCCTGGCCCTGCCTCTTCACTGGTTGCTACTGGGTCCTCTCTCTCCCTGCTCCATGAGCTTTATCAAACCTCGTCTTAAAATTATGTATGGCTCCCGCCTCCACTACGTCACTTTCTAGGATATTTCACTGTCTGTGTGTGTCTGTGTGGTGGTATGTGTGTATATAAATTTACAATATCTATGTTGTACGACAGAGAGAGAGAGAGAGAGAGAGAGAGAGAGAGAGAGAGAGAGCGAGCACATAATACTATAAAGTTGGGTTCTTATACCGATGATGTGCTCTATATTTTAACAATTTTTACACAAGACAAACAAAATCCAAGTATTAGGTGAAAAGGACATGTGAAGCTAATGAGAGGTTATATTGTGGCAACGTTTCGCTCTCCAAGAGCTTTGTCGAGCCAAAGCTGCGAAAACATTGCCGCAATAAATGTCTCTTAAGTAGCACGTGTCCTTTTACTTAACATACTGCCGGTAATTCTGCCAACATTATTACAACGAAATCCAAGTAATTACGTAATATTACAGTCGCTAGTCATGATCATTAAACAAGTAGACCAGTTCAAGCCTGACTGTTCATCTGTCCTGTTTATATATTATGCTACCATCAGGTAAAAATTTCTTACTTAAAAACAAACACCCTGTGCAGGTGAAATGTCTCAATATTCCTCATTTTGTCTTTCATCTACAACTCGTTGACATTAATATACTATCTACTCTTACAACATTATTCACTTATTCTAAATAATTTTCACACAAGTGTTTCGGAATAATTTTTATTAAATTAACTAAAGTTCTGACAGAAGCACAAGACTAAAAACTTCCCATCCCAGTTCTTAACTAAGATCTCCAGTAACCAATATAATTAATATATCCATCTCTTCCAACAGTGCTGGATGAGGTCATGTGGGCCCGAGTCACTTCCATCTTCAAGAAGAAGAATGAACATAGCATGTAAGTATTCCGAATGTCATTTTTAAAATGCTAGAGAGGGAAATATTTGCTCAAGTAGACTTATTCAAAGGAAAATAATATTAAACATGTTTATCAATCACATTGTAGGGCTTTTACTGACACATCTTGGCACAACTTGTCACATCAGGGCCCAAAGACCACTAGAAAATTCCAGAGATGGTAACCTTAGACGTACAAAAATTATGTACAGTGAACTATGAAAAATACTCTGTAAAAACCTTCGATTTGTTGGAATGTGAAGCGTTGCCTGGTTAGTGTCTTAATTGCATGAAACAGATACAAAGAGAAGTTTTGACTGAGACAGCGTTTCGCTGTCACTGTAGATACATTTATGAGCGATTTCTCTAAATTTCTTGTGTTTTGGTATGCATGCATATGATGACACAAGGTGTGACAATATTTCTGTTAAAAACTTTTACGTTTAGTTTACATCAGTTAGTTACATCTTCCCGAGGTGTTTGTAACCCAGCCGAAGGCCAGTGGTAGTAACTGCCAAGAGGCACTTGATTTTGAGTGCCCCAGAGAGTTGTGGCTTCATTGATGACAGATTCCTTTGTCTATGGTCTGGAAAGTTTAGTTGAAGTTCTTTCCGTGTCACTGTTTTCAAAATGTTGGTTATACTTATCAGTTTGTTTCATTATTTCTGGCGAAAAGTTGTGAAACGTGGCCATTTTGTCATACCGCGTTGTAACTATATTTGTGTACCTGTACCTGAATAAACTTACTAAAATAAATGTTCATAACGTTGCACGTGTCCATGTACTTAATTAAAATTTAAGTGTAGGGAGAGAGTGTTCATTACATAACGACATGAGTCATAAGTTTATTGCAAGCTCAGCAATAAAAGTTTGCGTGGAGTTACGTCCAATATCGCTGAAAAGTGTTAACTCAAATAACTTTAGTTACGCGATTAGAAAAACCTCAGTGTCGGATCCATTTGGAAGTCTGTTGCAGTTTTTATAATGAAGTAAGAAAAGTACTCGCTTGTTTCGTTAATTCTTGGTGTCAGAGCATAAGTTCTCTGAAGACGCATCGAAGTATAGCTTTAATTCTTTAGCCTGGTGGCTAAAGCTCTCGCTTCACATGGCGAGAGTCTAGGTTCGATTCCCAGCGAGGGTGGAAACATTGGGTGTGTTCCCATCAGTAAAATGGTACCTGAGTGTTAGTCGACTGGTGTGGGTCGCATCTTGGGACAAAACTGACTTAATTTGCGGGAAATGCTCTGCATAACAAGCAACTTTCTATATAGTAGTATGTCATTGCTGTCAGCTAGGCCTATATACCTTGTACATGTACTTGTAGTAAATAAAAATGTTATAATTATTAAAATAAAAGGAAAAGAATGGGTATAATTAGCACTTAAGAGAACGAAATTTGTGCCAAGGGATTAGAGGGCGTACTTACTTATTTTTATTTCACCGTTCATTCCTAGTAGAACATTGTCCGATTTAATGTCTCTGTGGATAATATTCCTCTCGTGTAGAAACTGCAGCGCCTGTAACACCTCCCTGTGGGCCAGTAGGTTGAATAAGCATGCACTGTATCATTGACCATTCTAGCTGTTACCAATAATGGAAATATAGTCACCTTGACTTTGTTGGATTGCCCTGTATTAACCTGCTTAATTTATTACCAGTGTATGACTGTAACAGTTACATGCTTACAAATACAGGTATATTAATACCGACGGATTGTAGCTATTTGCGTATTACAACCACATATAGTTTAACTTGAATAAAAACTATCATAATTACTAACCACGGAACAGAAATAAGATTTGAGATTTCATCATATTTAATAACTGACCCATATTTTTGTTGGTAAATTTAGGGGATTTGTGTCTTGACAAAGTCAGATGTTGGTTGTAAACATCTGTGTACACTAGTCACAAATTCTGTGCACAACAACCAATAGGACTAATTTAAGGTTTACCTGCAAAGAGCAGCGATATGTCCTTCTTGCATGCAGGTTTCTGTGACCACGTTAGTCAGGGGACCACCTTCAAGGTACTCCATGATCACCTGAAAATACAATGGCATATTCATTACTGTAGAAAGGGACAGGAAAGTAACTCAATATTTCTTCTTAATTGCTGATGTTGATGTACCGTGTTCTAATTTTTACACCGCGGCTTTTGTTCACCTAGCAGTAAATAGGTACCTAGATGTTAGGTCTAGTCTGCAGTTGCGGGTAGTATCTTAGGGAAGAAATCCCATGGGAATAAACCATACTATTTGGCTTTGTTGGGTTATACTGGGATGGATATATATATTATATATATATATATATATATATAATATATATATATATATATATATATATATATATATATATAATATATATATATATATATATACAATAAGATCACAGTAAACAGGTGATTTCAGAATATGCAAAACAACCACTGTGAAAGAATAGAGAAATTCCACGCGCTTTCGTGACTACTCACATTATCAAGGAACAATGAAAGTAAAGCATCAAAGGAAGGTATATAAAGGGGTAGCACACACCTCACTATCAGATCCCACAACAATGAAACGCCTGACGTGAGACAGCAGGCCCGCCGGCCGAACTAGACAGGTCCTTCACACAACCCACCAACAAACTATTCTACCCAAGAAATAAGAAATTTAAAAAATTATTATTTGTCCAATGTATTATTAAATTCTTCCCAAATTCTATTAATTATAAATGGATCTAATTTATATAAACCAAAGGAAATATTCATATTATTGTCAAAACTGTTTTTTATGAAACAAGATTCAATTATATTCCTGTCGACCATGGACTTGCTTGATACTACTTTCTCAACTTTTTGAAAATCAATTGGATGGTTAAAATCTCTTACATGAATAAATAGAGCATTGGAATCTTGTCCAGTTCTAATGCTATATTTATGTTGTTTTAACCTTAGTTCGAGATTTTTACCAGTTTCACCATAATAAACTTTATCGCAAATTTTACAAGGAATCTTATAGACACATCCATCAGCATTTTGGGGGGAATTCTTTATCAAAAGTTTTTTTACTGTATCAAGATTTTTGAATACAACTTTAATATTAAAAGTTTTAAGAAGAGAAGGCATATCAACCAAGTTTTCATCTGGAGAGAGTTCCGGGGGTCAACGCCCCCGCGGCCCGGTCTGTGACCAGGCCTCCTTAGGTCAGTGTCCCAGGATGCGACCCACACCAGTCGACTAACACCCAGGTACCCATTTTACTGATGGGGAACATAGACAACAGGTGGAAAGAAACACGTCCAATGTTTCTACTCTGGCTGGGAATCGAACCCAGGCCCTCACCGTGTGAAGCGAGAGCGTTAACCACCAGGCCACCAGGAGAGAACCAACATATTTTTAGATGAATAAGGCTGGATTGTAAAAAGTATTTCTAGCAACTTTAAAAGATTTATCAATTACATTTCTTGGGTATTTCAAATCATTACCTATTTCATAAATTTTGGATATTTCCTCATCTATGAACTCTGGACTACAAATTCGTAAAGCTCTCAAAAACATTGATGAGAAAACAGACAGTTTAACTCTATCTTGATGGGAAGAATAATAGTGGACATAGGAACAGTTATTTGTAGGTTTTCTGTAAATTTTAAATTTGAATTCATTATTACCCTTAATAATTAAAACATCTAGAAAAGGCAATGAGTTATTTTCTTCAAATTCAACAGTAAAATTTATAGAATGGGCTAAGCTATTTAATTTGCCAAGGAAATGGTGTATATCTACATTTTTGGGCATAAGACACAAAATATCATCAACATATCTGAACCATTTAGCTCTATTAGGGCAGATTGTGTTAAGCAGCCTTGTTTCAAAAAATTCCATGTATAGGTTACTAAGAACAGGTGAAAGAGGATTTCCCATTGCCATACCAAACTTCTGAGTGTAAAACTTATCATTAAATACAAATTTTGCATCAACAATATAAAGTTTAATAAGTTTAATGATAGTAGGAACTGGCAATGGTAAATCATAATTAACGAGTTCTTCAGATAAGAAACTTAAATCATCAACAGGAACTTTCGTAAACAAAGAAGTAACATCAAAACTAACCATGTTAAAATCATTTAAGTCAGTCAAGGAGCTTAATTTATCAACTAAATCTATGTTGTTTTTAACATTAAAGTTAGAAATTTTGCCAACAATAGGGCTCAAAATATCAACAAGCCATTTGAATAATTTATATGAAACTGATTCTATGGAGCTAATAATTGGTCTGACTGGATTCCCTGGTTTGTGTGTTTTTATTAGTCCATACATGTAAGGTAAAGATGGATTAGTGGAAGAAAAATTGTTTGACTAATTCATCTTTGCCTTTCAGTAGAAGTTTTATTGTTTTATTGAAATTGCTGTTAACGGTTTCTAGGGGATTTTTTCTAAGTTTAGAATAGGTTTCAGTATCATCTAAGAGATTATTCATTTTTTCTTGGTAATCATTTTCTTTCATAATTACTATTGCATTTATTTTGTCTGCTTTAGTAAGGCGCAAATTTTTATTGCTATAAGTGTATCATAAGACTTAAAGAATCTTTGAGGGCAATTGGGAATGTTTTGTTTTAACATAGAGCTATATACCATTCCCTTACTAATATTAATTTCATCAGTGGATAAATCAGAAAATTTTTCAAAGTTACAAAAGGCTTTTGGAATTTCAACATTATTAAGTTTTTTTTGAAGTTGCAAAACTTAGGCCAAAACCTAGAGCAGCAGTTGTATTTTTGTCTAAAATTTCATCTAAGTTAATTACAAAATTATTATTAGCATGCTTTGTCCAATCACTATTTTCAATTAAAATGTCTAATTTTCTTTGTAGTTTTTTTTGAGTTCATTACAAATTCTTCTGAGTTTATTATAGCAATGATAAGTTTTACACTCAGAAGTTTGGTATGGCAGTGGGAAATCCTCTTTCACTTGTTGTTAGTAACCTATATATGGAATTTTTTGAAACAAGGCTGCTTAACACAGTCTTCCCTAATAGAGCTAAATGGTTCAGATATGTTGATGATATTTTGTGTCTTATGCCCAAAAATGTAGATATACACCATTTCCTTGGCAAATTAAATAGCTTAGCCCATTCTATAAATTTTACTTTTGAATTTGAAGAAAATAACTCATTGCCTTTTCTAGATGCTTTAATTATTAAGGGTAATAATGAATTCAAACTTAAAATTTACAGAAAACCTACAAATAACTGTTCCTATGTCCACTATTATTCTTCCCATCAAGATAGTTAAACTGTCTGTTTTCTCATCAATGTATTTGAGAGCTTTACGAATTTGTAGTCCAGAGTTCATAGATGAGGAAATATCCAAAATTTATAAAATAGGTAATGATTTGAAATGCCCAAGAAATGTAATTGATAAATCTTTTAAAGTTGCTAGAAATACTTTTTACAATCCAACCTTATTCATCTAAAAATATGTTGGTTCTCCCTTACCATGAAAACTTGGTTGATATGCCTTCTCTTCTTAAAACTTTTAATATTAAAGTTGTATTCAAAAATCTTGATACAGTAAAAAAAAACTTTTGATAAAGAATTCCCCCCAAAATGCTAATGGATGTGTCTATAAGATTCCTTGTAAAATTTGCGATAAAGTTTATTACGGTAAAACTGATAAAAATCTGGAACTAATGTTAAAACAACATAAATATTGCATTAGAACTGGACAAGATTCCAATGCTCTATTTATTCATGTAAGAGATTTTAACCATCCAATTGATTTTCAAAAAGTTGAGAAAGTAGTATCAAGCAAGTCCATGGTCGACAGGAATATAATTGAATCTTGTTTCATAAAAAGCAGTTTTGACAATAATATGAATATTTCCTTTGGTTTACATAAATTAGATCCATTTATAATTAATAGAATTTGGGAAGAATTTAATAATACATTGGACAAATAATAATTTTTTAAATTTCTTATTTCTTGGGTAGAATAGTTTGTTGGTGGGTTGTGTGAAGGACCTGTCTAGTTCTGCCGGCGGGCCTGCTGTCTCGCGTCAGGTGTTTCATTGTTGTGGGATCTGATAGTGAGGTGTGTGCTACCCCTTTATATACCTTCCTTTGATGCTTTACTTTCATTGTTCCTTGATAATGTGAGTAGTCACGAAAGCGCTTGGAATTTCTCTATCACAGTGGTTGTTTTGCATATAATATATATATATAAATATATATATGATATATATATATATATATATATATATATATATATGTAATTTATAAATGTATATGTAGTATATATATGTATATAATGTATATATATGATATGTATGTATATATATGTATATGTATTATATGTTTTGAATAAGTATAGTAGTATAT